TGCCCCTATCTCGAATGGTATAATTGTTGCGCTTTTTAAATTATGTATTGTTTTGTGTTGTTGTCAAATTGTCTGTATCCCCTTTCCCTTGTTCAAGTTGTGAGCCACCCTGAGTCCCCCTTGGGTGAAAAGGGCGGCATACAAATGAAATAAATGAATGAATGAATGAATGAATGAATGAATGACAATTAAGTCAGCCAATGAGGGCTGTTTGGGAGCTGAAAGAGTTTGGAGCCTGGGCATGGCTTAGGTCAACTGATATGTATAAATATAAGTTGTGTGCTCATTTTATTGTCCTTCTTTCAATATGTCCTTCTTTTATATTCCTGTTAACTGTCTGTTCACTGTGCTTCTGTGATTATGCTTCTGATTCTGAGAACTGCATGGGTATTGTATATATACTTCAGTGTTGGGATTCAGAAATTTTTACTGGTTCTGTGGGCGTGGCTTGGTGGGCGCGGCGTGGCTTGGTGGGCGTGGCAGGGGAAGGATACTGAAAAATCCCCATTCCCTCCCAATCAGCTAGGACTCGGGAGGCAGAGAATAGATGGGGGCGGGGCCAGTCAGAGGTGGTATTTACGGGTTCTCCGGACTACTCAAAAGTTTTCGCTACTGGTTCTCCAGAACTGGTCAGAACCTGCTGAATGCCACCTCTGATTCTTCTATATAAAGAGAAGTTAATGAATCCTGCTGAATCAGTCATCTGTGTGTGCTTTCTGGAATTGATTGCTGCACCAAACTCTTGACACTTTCTTATTTAACACATGGATGTTAAATGCTAAGCTGTTTCCAATATTATGTCAGATAAAACCCCTTTTTACATTTCAGATCTCCGCTCTCGTCAATGGTCTTTGGAACCAACGCTCTCTTCACAAAACCAGCTCAGTCCTTAGCGCCTATGCTTGTGGTTTCCGTACTAAATCAATTTGGCTACGCAGATCTGAATAGTAAAGCTGTCAATCCTGACTCCAGGTAAGTGGCCGGTTGTTATTAAAGTGAACCCCGTGTATCTGCCTAAAAGAGTTTAAAGTTGTACAGGTAGTCCTCGACTTACGACCACAGATTAAGTCCACAGGTTTAAGCAAACCTGGCCTCCCCACCCCCTTCCTCCTCCCCCATTAACTTGCTGGAAGCTGTTTGGGAAAGCTGTAACTGGTGATCACTTGATCACATGCCAATTGCCTGAATTTTGAACACGTGACCATGGCAATGTTATGACGGTCATAAGAGCAAGGACCTTTCCCCCCCCCAGCACCGCTGTAGCTGCAAATAGTCTTTAAGTGAATAATTGCAAGTTAAGGACTGCCTATGTAAGTTTTTTTTTTTACACACATAGTTTGACTCTTGATTTACAGCGGTCAGTAAGATCCCACAGATTGGACCTCCTTCAGATGCCGTCAGCCAGACAGTGTCGGCTGGCGGGCCCTCGGAGGAGAGCCTTCTCTGTGGCTGCTCCGACTCTCTGGAACCAGCTCCCCCCGGAAATCCAGACCATACCCACTCTCATGGTCTTCCAGAAAGCTGTAAAAACTTGGCTGTTCCGGCAGGCCTGGGACTGTTGACCTCACTGTTGAGGTCCAGTCCCGACTAGAATGAATGTATGAGGGTGTTTGCTGTTTTTAAATTATTT